GGAAAACCACTATGTAGGCCACACTGACTTCAATGTCATGGTGATCCTCCTGTCTCACCCTCTTGATTGCTGTGATTATGGGCATTGCACTATGCCCAGACAATCTATTGATTCTGTTATTGTAGTACACTTGGAATCATTTGTCTCAGTTTGTCCATCAGAATAGAATAGATAACAAGAATACACAACTCATTAATCTCAGTAGTTCCCTGGGCCTCTCTGCTCTGGAGGACCCTCTCCCTGGACTCTGTCTCTGGCTGGGGAGCAGTGGACACCTGAGAACCTGGCTAACAAGGGCTGACTCTGAGCGCTAGAGAGACACCAGTCACTGCAGGGAGTGGAGGAGCACGGAGGAGGGAGGGAAAACACGTGGAAAATGGGAGAACCACAGAGACTGTGTATGGGTGAAGTGCTTTCTCACTCCTGGCACAAGTTATATAAAGATTTTGCCTCCACAATGAAATAGCCACATAGGATGTGTGTTTTTGTCATTTCCTTTCACCTCCAGGTCTACAGCCTTGTGTGCTAGTGTCAGGTCTGTTGCTCTGATAAAATACCCTGACAAAAAGCAGATTAGAGCAGAGTTGATTCATCTTACAATCCCAGGGATGATGATTGCAGGGAAGTCAGAGCAGGAACCTGAAGCAGCTGGTCATGCCCGCAGTCAAAAGCAGAGAGATGAGTGCACGCTTGCCTGTCAGGGCTCAGCTTGTTCTCTATACATACACAGTTTAGGAAGCTCTGCCTAGAGAATGGTGCTTCTCACAGTGGGCTGGGTCTTCCCGTATCAACTAAGGTAATTAAGGTAATACCCCACAGACATACCCAAGGGCCAACCTGATCTATACAATCCTTCATTAAGACTTACGTGATCCCAAGTGATTCTAGACTGTGTCAAGTTGACAATTAAAGCTAACCATCACACTGGACGTAGTGGTACATGGCTTTGATCTTAGCATTCAGGAGGCAGAGGCAGGCAAGTCTCTGTAACTTCAACACAAGCCTGGCCTATATATTGAGTTCCAGGCCAGCCAGAGTTACATGTTAAGACCTTGTCTCAAACAATCCCTCCCCACATAATAAAAATGCACACCATGCCTTATTTTCTGGCTGCTTCTTTTCTGCATGGCATGCTGGGAAATGTATATTCTCCTAGCCACGTGACGATATTTGTTTGCAGAAGTTCTCCTCTGCTTCCCACATCGTCTCTGGTTCTCTGGTGCGGGTTTTCCCCTTTCTCATCTTGCTTCTTTCTACTTCTTCAGGTTATATGTTTCCACAGACGTCTGCAGCCTGTTGTTCTTTCAATCACAAAGACAAGCTGCTGAAAGGCTCATTTGAAACAGCTGGAGAATTCTTACTTGGGGGCCTTTTTGTTCTTTTTAGGTTTTGCTGACTGAATGGGGCCCACTGACGTGAAGCCAAACAGTCTCACTTAGAGTTCTTCAAGTTAAATGTTTATCTCATCCAAACATGCCCTCCATGCTGACACGTGAAAACAGCCACCACAGAATCATATCACCACCTGTAAAGACTGCACATTTTTAATTCAGTGGTTTTTTTTTTTAAAGACCTTGGGTTATCACTGATTAGAACAGGATAAATTCCCTGGACCCATTCACTATGTGCGGGGCTCTCCAAGATCTTTGGTTTTGTCTATAGCACCCCCAAGTATTCCCTAAATTTAAAAATCCCATTTATTCCTGTCTTCCCACCAACACACTTACTTTGCACATTCTGGCTCTGCTTGGCCCATCCCTCATGTCAACATCTATCCAGTCACTGGGAGACTTTCGTAAATCACTGTCTACTTACACGTTGCTTCTGTTTCTTAGGGTGATTACAGAGGCCTGGAATAGCGAGGAGCAGGCTCACTATGAACTCAGCTTCAGGTACTTCAAAGAAAATAAGGTGGAGATCGCGAGTGCCATCACAAAGCCGTTTCCGTTCCTCATGAGCCTCCGAGACCGAGGCTTCATCTCTGAGCAGAAGTATAAAGTAAGAATTCCTTCAAGATTATAAGCCTGCCCTACACTGTGTTATGCCAAACCTTGGGTTCAGCCAACAGGCTGAAGGGCCTCCTGTGAGTGGAGACTGTCACTTGTAAGTTAGGTGGTGACACGAGAAGCAGGCATCACAGGAAACATCCATTTCTGCTATCTGTGACTGAGGCACATGGAGGCGGAGGCCCAGGGTGGTGGTGGGGAGCAGGAATGTTCCAGGGCTGCAGAGCATCCCAGGTTCACCTTCCCTGTCTATCAACATCAACTGAAATAAAGTAGACACGTCACGTCCAAGCAGGGCTTCTTACAAAACCTACTTCTTTTAAACACGGAGTGGAGAGTTCTGAAAGCCACAGGGCAGCTGTGTCACATCAGGGTAGATCTGGAAGCCGTGCTTGTTCTTCTCTCTTCAAATTGTTTCTTGTTCATTAGACACTTCTGAAGCCCTAGAATGCAATAAAGGCTAGTGATGGGGTCCCCTGTGATAACGCAGTCCAGCCTTCTCTTTAGGAAATTTCTTTGCCCTTTGGCCAGGATGATCTCTTGGTTTCCTAAGCCCTTCAGGGAGGCGAGTCCTTCGGGGAGGAGAGTGTTTCTTGTCTGGTCACCAGAACAGCCTCTCATGGCCTGTCAGGGCCACCCCTAGAATGTCTTGGCTTGGCTCTTAAAGACACATCATTTGATTTTGCACACACCTTTACTCTGCAAAACTGCTCTTTCATTTGAATTGTATGTCAGCATCCGAGAGCTAGTGTCAGATAAGCAAGAGGCCATTATTATGTCAGAGCACATTTAAGAAGTCTCCTCAACATTTCAGAAGAGAACAAATGATCTGTACCAATCTAAGAGTCTTTCATAACCTCTAAATCAACAGTCATGTAATTTTCCATTCTATATTTCTAAGCTTTTTCAAGAACGTTGTGAGAACCTGGTTCCAGTGAACAGAGTGATGTATGACGTCCTCAGTGACCTGGAGAAGATGTTTGGCCAGCCGCTTCTGAGGGTGATGTTCAGCCCAACGAATCTGAAGGAATATCCTGACTTAAAGGAGATTTTCAGAAGCTTCCCATTTGGTAACTATAGCTCTCACCTGCTTTAGGGGATTCAAGACCACTTCATTAGTTCACTCATTCATTTTTTCATTGATGTACATTTTATTGAGGGACTGTGACATGCCAAACACAGAGGGAATGCAATGGGGGAGAACACACACATGGCCGTGTGCTCACGGAGCTTACATATCGGCCAAGTAACCCCACAGATAATTGCTCAACCAGAACCTGATTTTGATGCTATAAAATATAAGGTTTGTATCTCTACTCTGTTGGTTTTGGGGGCGGAAATATGAAAAACTTTAACATTTTACAAGAGAACAAGCAGTCTTTGTATCAATCTAAGAGTTTCTTATGACCTTGGGACCTACACGGTAGAAAGAGAGAAGCGACTCCTGCAACTTGTCCTCTGACTTCCACACTTGTGGACACACTGTATTAATTGTTTTTCTGTTGCTATAACACTGATCAAGGTGTTCTGGTTTGTTTCTTCATCGCTGTGACAAAATATTCTGACCACTACCAACTTGGGGAGGAAAGGGTTTATTTAGTTTACATATCCCGGGTCGCAGTTCATCCAGGAGCCCAAGGTAGGAACTCAGGGCAGGAACCTGGAGGCAGGAGCTGGAGAACAGGCCATCGGGGAGCACTGTTTACTGGCTTGCTCCCCTGGCCCCTGCTCAGCCTGCTTTCTTGGGAGCACTGTTTACTGGCTTGCTCCCCTGGCCCCTGCTCAGCCCACCTACCCAGGGGTGTGGCCATGTCCAATAGAAGCGATTCCCCAACTGAGGCTCCCTCAACCCAGGTGTGTCAAGTTGACACTAAAGCTATCCAGAACAGAAGGCAAGTTATAGAAAGAAGTACTTATTTGGGCTTATAGTTCCAGAGGGATAAGAATTGATCATGGTGGGGGAGGCATGGCAGGAGGCAGTGATAGCAGAAAACTGAGAGTTCACATCTTCAGGCATGCTCAGGAAGCAGAGAGAGCAAGCTTGGAACTCTCAAAGCCCACCCTTAGTGCCAAGCTTCCTTCAACACCTCCTAAAGGTTCTATGACCTCCCCAAACAACACCACCAAATGACCAAATGTTCAGATACTTGAGTCTATGGGGGGACAAGTACCAGCATCCACTGGTCCTGCTGGTTCTCTGTGACTTTGTGTCTCCTGCCCCCCCCCGCCACCCCAGCATGCCCTTGCTTTCCGAAGGTGCTTCCTTATTGGAATTTCTTTGGAAGAATGTTTCTGTAGTGTGTGTGTGTGTGTGTGTGTGTGTGTGTGTGTGTGTGTGTGTGTGTTTCTTTTTCTCTCGTGTCTTCTGGGTCTGGTTTCTCCATGTATGTCTGCATGTCATCTTCAGTGCAGCTCTATGTATCCTGAGATGGTTTTTGCTCCTCTCGTTCTCACCGTCTTGGGTCACTAGCAGTCATTCTTGTTGGTGCCTTTCAGAAGCAGATTTCCATTTGTATCTTGGGTCCCATCTGGGAAGGGCTAGTTCCTCGTCTTTGCTGTGTGCTTTAGAGCCAGACCATCTTCTCTGACTCCATTCAATCAGAGAAACGCTCTCTCTCTTTCTCTTCCCTACTTTCTCCCTCCCTCTTCTTTCCTTCATCCTTAGAAGCTGTTAGCTGTCTTTCTGTTGTGTGAGGCTGGCAGAGGGTCAGGGTGGCCAGGATCATTGAGCAGAGTCCTCATGGGAGATCTCAGGGGGCTGCAGACCCCCAGAGGAGGAGGAGGAGACAGAGAGAGAGACAGAGACAGAGAGACAGAGACAGAGAGAGACAGAGATAGAGAGAGAAGGATTGGAGCCTACCACATGGGTACAAGAGCGCCAGAAGAGAACCAGGGGAAATGGCGGAGCTGCAGGTAGGATGTGATATTGAGCACTGGCGATCAACAAAGAAGAAAACAGACTGAGGCATGCACAGTGCTCTGTGGTGTTGAGCAGCATGTGGGGAAGTGAAATGAGAAAGTAACAGGGTAACAGGAGAAAGTCACAACAGAAAAAAGAGAAAGGCCAAGCAAGGCTCTAACTGGGAGGGCGGTTTGATGTGTGGGTGTCTCAGGTGAGAGGTCCTCTACTAGAGCACCATAGGCTCTTGACCACTGAGCAGTTTCTCTAGCTCTAGGTGATTACTATATCGTGTGACTACCACAGAGCGTAGATCTATTAATGAAGACAGCTGTAAGGCCACTGGCCATACAGTGCTATGTGATCATTGTCTTAGATCAATGATCACATTGATAGATCATTTGGTCTATCCATGACCAAAATATTATCATGTGTCACATGACTGTGCTACCAGGTTGAAGTCTGAGAAGAAGAAAACATTGAATTTACTTGGCAGAGATTATATAGGAATAATGAAATGTTACATACAATAGAAACAAAAAGTGAGTTAAAAGAATAGAGAGCTGATTGGAGAAGAGGTAAGGACACTGGAAAGAAAGAAAGAAGACAGAATGCAGAGATGGTAGAAGTCGGGAGCAGAGAGTCACGTCAATGAGGTCCATAGACAGCTGCACGTGAAGAGGCAACCGTGTGTGAAGACACGACTGGGGACAGAAGAGGGAGAGGGGGCCAGGCCAGCCACTGATAGAGGGGCAAATCTGTTGGTGCAAACACGCTCCATTCCTAGGCATAATTGGAGGCTTTGCCAGAGTCCAGCACCACCACATCCGGGCCCATGTCCAGGTCACTATCACCTGTCTGTCATGTTCTTCTCCCTTCAGCAGCCCAGAAACCTTTGCAAATGATTGAAGGAGGAGAATCAGAAGAAACATTCATGTTGCCTTGTGGTACAGAAGGTAATAGGATTTAAATGACCTATTTTCTAATTAGTTTTGTTTTCCTGTTAGAATAAAGAAGAGTCTATTCTTTTAAGGAATATTTTATTATTTTTATTTTATGTGTGTGAGTATATTACCTGCATGTGTGTAAGTGTACCCATGTTGTGCAGTGCCCATGGAGGTCAGGAGAGGGCATCAGATTCCCCTGGAGTTGGAGTTACAAATTGTTGTTAACCATCATGTGGGTGCTGGGAATCGAATCCAGGTCCTTTGCAAGAGTATTCAGTGCTCTTAACTGCTGAGCCACCTTGCCAACCTCAAGAAAATCCTGTTCCTTCAAAATGTCCTTTTTTGTTCATTCATCCATCTATTCATCCATGTTCTAATCCAACCATCTATGTATCATCTATCTACTAATCCATTCATCCATCCCCCAGACCCCCC